CTGCTGGACCACGAGGCTCTGTCGTGCCTGCTGGTGCTGCTCTTCGTGGACGAGCCCAAGCTGAACACGAGCCGCCTGCACCGCGTCCTGCGCAACCTCTGCTACCACGCTCCCACTCGGGGCTGGGTGGTCCGCAGCCTCCTGTCCATCCTGCAGCGCTCCAGCGAGAGCGAGCTGTGCCTCGAGACCCCCCGCGGCACCCCCGAGGAGCGACCCCGTGGCCGCGGCGGTGCCGCCGCCGCCGCCGGTTCCGGTGCCGGTACCGGTGCCGGCGCCGCCCGCGCCGGTCCGGGCTCTGCCGCCGAACCCCCCCGCGGGCTGGACCTGCTGCACCGCATGGAGTCGAGGAGTTCGGGGCAGTTGTCGTGGCTCTCCGTGTCCATGGACGCGGCTCTGGGCTGCAGGACGAACATTTTCCAGATCCAGCGGGCGCCCGGGCGCAAGCACACCGAGAAACACGCGGCGGCCGCCGGCTCCGCCGTGCACATCCACCCCCAGGCCGCGCCCGTGGTGTGCCGGCACGTCCTGGACACCCTCATCCAGCTGGCCAAGGTGGGGGGCGACCGGGGCACGTGTGGGGGCGACCGGGGCACGTGTGGGGGAATTGGGGGGCACTGGAGCACGGGGTTGTGTTTCTGGGAGGCTCCTTGATTTTTTGGGGGGTGCTGGAGCACATCTGGGGGGAATTGGGGGGCACTGGAGCACGTGTGGGGGTGGTTTGGGGCTTTTCAGGGGAAATTTGGGAGCACTAGAGCCCATTATGGGGTTTCTAAGATGTTCCTTGATTTTTTGGGGGGCGTTAAAAGGTGGTTTGGGGTTCCTCAGGGGGAATTTGGGAATGCTGGAGCCCATTTTTGGGTTTCTGGGGGGTTCCCTGAGGGATTTCGGGGTGCACCAGGGCACGTTAAGGGATACTGGGGGGTCACTGGAACATTCTGTGGGGGAGCTGGGGACCCCCCCCACAGGTTTTTGGGGGTCGGGGGGACCCACCCCCACACTTGGGGTCCCTCCCAGTGGCACCAGGAGCATCACCTGGAAATGGGAGGGGATCCCCAAAAATTGGGGGGGAGGGGATAGGGGACTCTGGGGTG